GGCGCACTGTAGCAGTGTGCCACCAGGCCGGCCCCAAAAGTACTGAAATTTTAAAAGTAATCAAGTGAATAAGTAAACAATGCCCTAGGTGGTACACAAAGATAAAAATCATGAGAAAATGGGAATGAATGAAATTTGGGAGACATGTATTCACTTGAGGTTATATTACTTAGGCTGTGGTCAGATGGTAGAGAAAAGAGGGAAGAGTAGCCTGGGCAGGAATCAGCAGGGTCTGGAAAACCTTGCAAGTACAGTGAAGTCAGTTATTGAAAGCCGGGACCCATTTTGGTTGCTGCTACCTGGCTGCAGTGTGACCAGGGATGTAGTTGCTGGAGAGGGTAGCAATAGCAAGGTGGCAAGGACGTCCAGCAGGGGATGAGACAGAGGTCCTCACAGCAGAACTAGAGAGGCCAAAAAGAATATTTGGATGGTGTAAGGGGAGCTGGGACAGGGAGAAGGACCTGGCTGGAGAAGTGAGTTCTTTCAGTATGGTGGGCAGTACAAAGACGAGGAGGATGGCCTGGGTTCAAACCTGAGCTTCATCACTTATTAACCATTTACCTTAGAGTAACACCTAACATCACTGAGTCTCAGTTTTCTTATCACCTGCGAGACAGGATAATAATAGAATGTGCATCTCGTAAATTCTCGGTAAGTGTTGGCTATTACCAATTCCAGGGCTGAACCCCATCATGCCTGCCTCTGTGCATGCTGAGAATTGTGCAGTCTTGCACGGTGAGTATCACCAAAGTCCTTAAGCTTGCTCTGCCTCAGACTGACTTGCTGCTAAGGGTATAGTCAAGAAAGCCGGCAGAGGCCAAGTTTATCTGAATTTCAGATGAACAATGAATAATTTTCTAAGTCTAGGTGTATCCAAATATTGCATGATTGCCCTATTTATTAACAAATTTCAGAAGTTCCTTGAACTGCTTTAACATTGTATAAAAATTCAGTGTGTAGGTGCATTTTGAAAAGGGAAGGGGGTGGGTGTCAAAGAACCAGGTGGATCAACCCAATGATCAAGTTTCCTAAAAAAAAGAGAATGTTACCTTTCCCCTTTGTCCCTAAAGGGAAGTGTATTTAGTCCCTTGCCTCTAAGTTACTAGTTGGATGATACAGGGTAATCTATTTTACCCCTCCTAGTTTCAATTCCCACATCTGACTGCCGGGAAGACTGAAGGTGATTTGTTTGGTCTGTAAACAAAAACCCTTAGAGAAGTATGAATCTTAGTTAATTAGAAAACGCACAGGCACTGTGGCAATAGTTTGTGTAACAACGTAGGGTGACTATCTTCCTGGCAAGTGGATTTACCTGGAAGACAGGAGATGTCAGCCCTCAAGGCAAGACAGAAGCAAAAACTGACAAAGCAAAGCATACAGGAAACTTGGGTAATAAGTTTAGATCTTCTTAAAGTGTCGGAAAATGCATGCTACGACAGAATCCTACAATTCAGCAAGCCTAAGAAAAAGCCTAGAGCTTTTTGTGCCTCTACCTAAAACTACCCATTGCATAGGAAACCCAGAGAAGAAATTCAGCCTAGGAAATCTGAAGAATTGTGACCCCATTCGAACAGGGCACTCCAAAATGACACACGGAAGAGAAATAGAAAGAGGTTTGCAGTCATGCCCATAGGCCTATATTCTTAAGTAAACTAACTTGATCCTAAATAAAAAAAAAAAAAAAGGTGAACTGTTGAAAAGGTTAAAAATAAAATATGAAAGACAGCTTCTGCTTCACCAGGCTGTAGCCCTTCAGGCTATTGAGGGCAGAGCTGACAAACCAATGACATGGTAGAATAAAATAAGCGTCTAGCATGTAAGGGCCTGAGCACAGAACCATACTGAGCAACAGTGGAGAAGAGGTACTCTGGGTGTTTAATTACAGTACTTTAAAAAGGGGTTGAGGAGAGAAAGGCCAAGAAATGCACATATATTTTAAACTGTCTAGTAAAGATGTATTTCTAAGTAAAATCAGAATATAATGTATTTTTCTAGCTAAAAATCATAATCACTAAGTGGTTGATACTATTTTACATAACTCAGTTGCTACTAGTATTTGTTCACTAATTTCATTTTTAATTTATTGCTGATGTACTTCAGCAACTTACTTATAACACGAACACAGTTATTCACAGGCCACATGAAAAATTGCCTAATTTTAGTTTAGAGTGATCTAATTCTAAAAAGGAAAAAGAAACTATTTAAAGGAGATGATCTTTACCTGGGGTTCATAATCCCTAAGGAATTTTATTAACAGAGTTGCCAGATAAAAGAGAGGATGCCAGTTAAATTTGAATTTCAGATAAACTACAATTTTTTTTTTTAGTTTAGATATGTCTCACAACCCTATTTATGAACAGATTTCAGAAGATTCATGAGCCCCTTGATGCTGCATAAAATCCTGTGTGTAGGCGCATTTTGAAGAGGAGATTGGCTAAAGCTGTCTTTCTACCAGATTCTTCAACCTAAGATCTCCCAACAGTTAAACATCATTAATGCGGAGAGAAAATTCTATCAAGTCCTGACCTTTCTCTCTGGCCTGAGCTTCCCAGCAGCCAAAGCTAAAGGGAAACACCAAGGGCAATTTACCAAATAGTAACTGGGGAGAAGATTCCCAGGGAGAAAGGAGTAGGCCTGGGTGTGGCTTAAATGAAGGCAGGTAGAAAGGCTGGTTCTCAGAGTCTTGCAGACGGACAAAGAATCTGGGGCTTGAGCCTCAGGGCAAAGTAACACCCTCAAAGGGCTTTGACCTTTTAAACAATTAGGTTTTAATTACAGACTATCTGCTGTGTGGAGATGATGGGGTTGGAGGGGAGCATCTAGAAGAGAGAGGAGCTGGAGTGGAAGGAAGTGGAGAGACTGGGAGGAAGAGGGGACAGGGAGGTTGGGAATAAATCCCTCAAGCACTGGGGTTTTCTCCGTTCCAGCTTTTTGGTTTTTGCATCTCCACTTTCAGTAGGAAGCCCCTTTCCCACGGCCCACGTGAGGGTCTTGGTGAAGATGAAGCACACAGTTTTTACCTGTCACTGAAAGTAGACCCTCAGCGTTGCAGCTTCTACCGCCATTTCTTCCTCTGATCTCCAAGAGCCTGGGGAGTCCTCCTCTTCTTTGTCATGTTTTTGGAGCTTTGGAGAAAAAAATAGGTTAAGCTCATTAATGGGTTCTTGGAATCTACTTGAACAAATGTTAGGGGAGGGGAGGACTGAATAGAATTTGCAAATTAGAGGCCAGGAGATATGTGTGTGTGCCTTTTAATTGCATTAGTTGCCAAAATTTGAAAA